AAAGTCACCACCTTGTGCGCGTCCATGCTACGCCTAATTTTCAGGATTGTGCTGTGAAATTCAAAATTACATTAGCATAAATTGTCTACATGATATTTACATCAACTAGCAACAGCAAACCTAATTTATATTCACTCAATATTCATTTTTCTAAATATACACATATGTAATTGCACGGTTTTTTGTCGAGAATCCCCTCCTCGGGTACTACCTTGTCGTGGTGGAGAGGCTTAGTACCCCAAAGAGTAAGTCCCAGTCTACAATAGATGATTTAAGCCCTAAGCTTTAAGAAATTGGCCAATCACGGTCAAGTATGAGTAGAATGCGCGACTGTGATTAGTCAATTTCTTAAGGCTTAGGGCTTAAATCTCTATTGTAGACTGGGACTAAAGGCCTTCACACATAAAATTCCGTAAGGACGTAAAACGTAAGCATAAGAAAATCGACCAATCACAGTCGAGAACGTAAGGCAATGACGCAAGCAGTAGCAAATCCAACCTGTTCATTTTCTTACGCTTACGTTTTACGTCCTTACGGAATTTTATGTGTGAAGGCCTTTAGGGCCGGGGCACACAAATGGCCTTAAGCAATAAGACGTAAGCAGTAAACGAATTGACCAATCATAGTCGAGAATTATGGCAGCCATATTATATATTCTCGACTGTGATTGGTGAATTCGTTTACTGCTTACGTCTTATTGCTTAAGGCCATTTGTGTACCCCGGCCCTTACTCTCTAAAAATCAATCAGTGCATTATCACTGAATCAGTGAATATTCACTGTTTTCAGTGATAATCCATTGATTGATTTTAGAGAGTACTCTAAAGATGGGACAACCAAAGGTACCCATTGCACCCATTTGGGCCCGATTTTTCAGTTTCTAATAAACTGTTGACCATAGTTTAATCGATTCTCTGTCTCTTCTTAGATAATAATATAGAAAAGCATAGAGAGTCGAGTAACTTCCGTATTAACAGTTAACCAGAAAATGATAAACCAGGCCTAATAGGCCCGGTTTCACCAACGCGAGTTAATCTAATCGGTCGGTTAACTTGACAGGGTGCCAACATAAAACTTCTTTATTAACCTATTTTCTTGGTTAATAAAGAAGTTTTATGTTGGCACCCTGTCAAGTTAACCGACCGATTAGATTAACTCGCGTTGGTGAAACCGGGCCATACTCTCTGAAAGTTAATCGGTGGATTATTACTGAAAATAACGAATCGATTCACTGTTTTCAGTGATAATCCACCGATTGACTTTTAGAGAGCACATTTATTAATTGATTCTGTTCATTTCAGCCCGAACTATCGAGGACTGACGAATAATTTCGCTATTATTTCGCCAGTTTAAACGAATCGCAACCGCGCGCGGCGATTCGTCGGTAAGGGGCAAAGTGTAGTCTCGTCTTCACCCGGGCCTTTGGCGATCTGTTTATTAATCTGTGCTTTTATTGTATCACTTAAGTGAGCCGGGTGCCATCAATCAGAACAAGAAGAAAGCTTCTCTCTGGAGTCTCTGGTTCTAGCATCGTAGACCCAGGCCTTTAGATTAACCGACGGTTAAAATTTGCAGGAAATAATAATTCGTAATTCGAAAATTTAAAAAACAATTCGTTTTGTATTTTCTTTGCTATCTGGAAACACGTTATTTTTAATTGAAATGTATAAAGTGTAGCAAGAATAAAAGTATAAAGTGACGCAGAGAAATGTGCGCTGCTTAGTAAACAAATGAACGAAAAGATCCGAGTTCAAATCCACGGACACCGCTGGTTTTTTTCGGAATTTCCCGAAAAAAAGTGCCAACTATCGAGAGTATCTTGCTACACGTACCCCTTTAAAGGTATAGTCCTCCAGATGATAGATTTTCTTCGGCAAGGAGGCTTTAAGCCTAATATACGAGGAAGAAAAAGAAATGCAAAAAATATTCGATTTAAAATAATAATCTTACAAAGAGTTAAATATCTAAATCAAACATTCATGCCTATTCCTACCAATGCAGATTAACTTTAATATGGTTTAATTTACTTTCCATCTCTTAGAACTAGAAAGAGATAAAAAGTAAGTTAAACCGAGATAAAAATTAATCTACATTGATAAAAATGGACATTTCACCACCTCGATTAAGGCCTATGTCCACGATGCTAGAACTTCAAGTTCTAGTTCCGAGAAACATCATTCGGATTAATTACTTACTACCGAATAACCGAAAACAATAAATATTAGTGGAAACAATTTGTATTATTGATTTCTATCGGGAAGGGATAGAATAAGTATAAACGCTATGCATGTGTAAACAGTGCATTTATTTAACAGGAAAATCAGAATTACAAAAGGTTGTTTTTAGTCTAAAAATTTAGAAGATTTTATGTTAACTTAGAAATATACTGCCGCGAATTTTTCTTAAATGATATATAAATTCGACACCTGCGAACTAGCTTTGCCATTAGAATTATGTCTTTTTAATTTTCTAACAATACATTAACAAGATAAATTAGGCACCTCAAGAAATATTAGATATAGTAGTTCGTGTAATAAATTACAAAAAGATACATATAGTCGAATATCACATCAAACTTAAGATATCATAGTTCGCATCAGCCAAAGGAATATTGCAAATCACGTACACAGAAGACAAAATGTAAATCTTGCAAATTGACAGCTGTTATTTGTTATTTATATTTCATTGATGTAGATTTGAAGTTCAAGTAATCGCGATAAAATAATTTACCTGTTACATACTGCGAACACAACCTTATTCCTCATTATTTTCAAGAAATCATCATATTACACTTATGTTCGATGTTTTTTTAAATAAAGATTAATCAGTAGAAAATTGCATTAATAAAAGAATGGAAATTGTATATCTCCCTTCGGTAAATAAAGAAGAGTATCAAGCTTCAGTGTTTCTTCTAAGTAAGGATTATTATATAAGAAATTGTAAATAAAATGTTAATGATGTATTTAATTATAAAAAATTGATATTTCATTTTAAATGTTGCTTAATTTCGATGTTAACAATTGAGGCAGGGAATAACCCTATCTTAAGATAATTTTTGTGCAAATGTCTTTTAATGAAATTGATAATTTAGTTTTGCCAATTTACAAATACATATACGATTGTGTAACTATTAGCTCCGGTTTCACCGATGTCACTTAACTTTAAGCTTAGTTTAATTCATCCTGTGTTTCTTTCCAACTGTTTCCTTAGAGAGAAACAAACAATGAATTAAATTAAAATTAACATCTAAACGACGTTGGTGAAACCGGGTCTTATTGTTAGTCGATCTGAAAAATCAAGATTGGTCCATGATGTAAGAAGATAAGGTGTGCTCTCACCGCACTGAAAAAAATATTTGTAAAATTACATGATTATGCTGGGTTTTTTTCCGACCCAGCATAATCATGCAATATTACTACCCACATGGAAAATTGCTTTTTTCTGTAATTTTGCATGAAAATTAAAGTGTTTTTACACAAAAATAGTAATTTTACCATTAATATGTATTTTCACTTTAAGAAATCTGGAAAAAAAATTAGTTATAATTAGGTAATTTTCCGGATTTGAACAAGTAATTTCCATGTAAAAGTACATTAATTTTTTTCAGTGCGTGAACCAATTTTGGTTTGTTTCTACCTTCCAAAACGACGCCATATTGGAAAATATCAACCAATAGCATCAATGCGCGAGATGTAGATAATTATGCTATATTATCTCAGGAGGAAGATGAAGATAATGAGGAAGATGACGGCTGCGAAGGCATTGATGATATTGGTTGATATTTCCCAATATGGCGTCGTTTTTGAAGTGTCTGTGATAGGTTGTGTGCGGTAGCACACCTTTCTTCTTACATCATGGATTGGTCGACAAATGAAGAACTTTGTTGAGAAGTAAAGATTATATTTATGAGAAACTTGCCTCCCTAGTTTTAACAAATTAGAAATGTTTATTCTATTTTTTACATATGTATGTATCACCGATTAATATCCTCTGCTTTAATATATTAAGTTAATCCTACTGATATAAGAACATATTTTCACTAATTTTGGAACAGTTACTAGAATTGAGAAAATTTTTTAATCCTTTTAAAAGAAACACAGTCTTGCTTACCACTATATCAGTCATTTATTGACTCAATATCTGAACAATATTATAAACGTAAATAATTAATTCTTTTCGAATTTGTAACATTTTTTAATTTTTATCAAGTCTTTATCTTTTTTTTATATTTTTGATATTTTGCAAAAGATAATACTAAAAGTTTATATACTTTCTATAATTCTACGCTCATGTGTATTTTTTTTTTTAGAAATAGCAACTAGAGAAATAAGCAGACTACTTCCTTCTTTTTTAATTTTTATACGTGGTACCATAGAATGTTATTTTAATATCAGATGCTTATTTTTATGTCTACTAAGTTATAGCTCAAAACATTTTTAATTGAAAATATGTTAATAATTTTTTGCATCTAATAATTATTTTTAGTTACAGACGAAACTTCATTATTTTTCTTCACCCTTTTCATACATTTATTACATGACTGTTCATAATATCACATGACATAAGATTGTGTTAACGATAACTACGATAGCCGTACATAAGGAACCATATATTTTATATTCATTGATGTTAAATGAAAAACTTGTATATGAGATAACAAGCAATGTACATTGAAGAAATCACGTTGGATAATTTGGATGCAACCATCATTACTTAACAATTACTATGCTGCAATCATGTAACTATTTAATTATCTAGAGAACAAATTGACTAGAATGCAAAAATGTATTATTTTGATTTAAAAGATCGAACGTACAAACATCATTCTTGTCCAAACTTCAATATTGTAATATTTGCAATTAAATTTATAATTTATATTAAAGTTACAGTCAGTTAGTTTGCTTAGGCCCTTTTCTAAATCTTTAACTAGGCAATGCCCCACGATTAGATAATTAAATAGTTACATGATTACAGCATAGTAATTGTTAAGTAATGATAGTTGCATCCAAATTATCCAACGTGATTTCTTCAATGTACATTGCTTATTATCTCATATACAAGTTTTTCATTTAACATCAATGAATATAAAATATATGGTTCCTTATGTACGGCTATCGTAGTTATCGTTAACACAATCTTATGTCACGTGATATTATGAACAGTCATGTAATAAATGTATGAAAAGGGTGAAGAAAAATAATGAAGTTTTGTCTGTAACTAAAAAAAAAACTATTGTCGTATCACAATTATTTTGTGATTTTTCCAGAATACATAGTCCATGCATGAGTTGTTCGTCTGATACATCTAATACATCTAACACGTGTGATGCCTTGTAGGCTATCGAACTTATCATTAACACGATCCCTAACATGCGACAATCTAAATGATTTATTAACTAAATAAAAATAAAGAAATTCAAGAATAGTGAATAATATAATTTCACCTATAACTTAAAAAAAAATTATTAGATGTAAAAAAAAACTCATAGTTATCAACTCGTTCTTCATTGAGAATATTTCAAAAATAGGTCGCTAGCTACATTCTTAAAAATAAGCATCCGATATTAAAATAATATTCTAATGCTTCGTGGCTACCTCGTTAAAGATTTAAAGAAATCTAAGTAAACCTAACTGATTGTAGCTTTAATATAAATCACAAACTTTATTGTATGTATTGCATTTTTAAGTTTGAACAAGAATGATATATGTATAACTCTGTGTGTCCGATCTTTCATAACAAAATAAAATATTTGCCTATTAATAACAGCAGATAGCAACATTTCTTTTAGGATATTACATGTGCAGTTGATAATAAGTTACACACGTATTACTAACTACATATATAACATCCTGATTGTGTATTTGTGATTTCACAATCCTCCAAAAAGAAAAACTAGGATATTAAACCGAGGACACGTCTGTACCTTGCCTGTATTATAAATCATTTCAAAATAAGGCCGAATATCACAAGGTACCAAACACGTCACACAAGATGACATTATCCTTCTTCGTCACTTATCATTAGCGCCCAAGCGGTATCAATCATCACCAAATGCATCTCGTCAAACACATCGCTTAAATTGTATCTCCGCTTCAGTCTTGAACACGTAACATTTAATATGAATATAATTTTAGAGAACATGTCTGGATCATAAACTGATCTAGCTGTGTTGGTCAAGTCAAACGGTTCTGCAACATTGCAACGTAAATACATGTCATAAGTAATATTTTCGAATTATTTCTATATAAGGAATATTCATTTACCTTCAATACACAGATACTTCCATTGATAAGGGTCATTTTTTGATGATAGCCCCATACGACATTCTTCTTTCGGTATTTTGCTTCCTAAACGTACGGAGATCGCATATTGGCTGAAGCTAATTTAACGGTATAAAATAAATATCCATTTATTAGTTATCTAAATATTCTATATTTCATTATTTGTATTCGAAGTTACTTACTCAAAGTCAACATAATAGTTGAAAAATTCAAATAGTAATTCTCCGAGAGATTGATGGTTCACAGGTAAGCGACTGGACGATGGAATGTTCAATTCCTCATGAATATTGATGTTGTAAATATCTGCATCAGGCCTAAATTTATTTGCAAACATTGAATGCAAACATGGCAGAACAGGAGGATTGGTACCACCTGTAAAAGCAGAATTCATATTCTAATATCGCGAAATGATTGAGACACAAATGGCTCCTGCCCACTGGACGC